GCACCAGGCATAGGGTTGATACCACCAGGCATGAATGGTAAATTAGGATAAAGATCACTATGACCACCTGAAAATAATTGTTCACCTTAAGAAAAAAACATAACTACAGGATCTACTTGTAACTTTCCAGTTGAATTTCTCAATCCCGTATTTACATTTAATTTTTGCGGTATGTGACTTTTTGACCATTAAATTTCAAGAAACACTTCTACTTTGGCATGATAATATGCACTGGAATGGACTGCATTAGCAGAGGACATGGTTGAGTTTAAGTGTATAATTTCACAACATGTGCTCAATTTCTCCTGAGAGCAACAAAAGACCAACAGTTACACAACGTAACTTTAGCAGACTTTTTCATCCTGTACAAAGTGTTTGTCAAAAATTAATGATCTTTCAATGAAACTTGAGAGACCAAAACAATAGAGGCAAAAGATCGCAATGGAAATGATCCAAAGTTTTTGTGCAAAACTACTTACCTATTATGCCTGGAGGGAATGTGTCCCCCCTGAAAGGCTGTGTACCAATCCCATGCCCAGGGAGGTACAGTGCAGGGGGTGGCACCAGCAACTGTAATCTCATCTTTTCATGTGCTTTTTTTGCTCGGTATAGTGAGATGTACTCCTAAAATAAATAAAATTTGTGTTCCAGTCATAATAATCACTTGATGCTTAAATTGCCACTGTTTGCAAGAATTATAAAACAAGTTATACAAATTTTTATAGCACACCATTTTCCAGCTTTTGGCTGGATCTTTTGTCTTCCTCCCTGCAATGAAAAAAAAAAACATTAATTTTTAATTAACAAAATAAAACAAACAACAATAACAACAAAATAACCAACCAACCAAATGAAAAAACCTGCCTTGATACTAATCTTGGCCTCCTTTTTTCCCATTCGGTTGTCTGGCACAAGCAGATTTTCTTCCACGGCAAGTAACTTTTAAATTCACTTGCCCAAAGGGCAAGGGTCTAAGCAAGTCATCTTTTAACTAAATCATTAACTAAGACCAGCAAGAAGTGACCCAGGGCAAGCAACATGTGAGGGCTGCTTACCCAAAGGACAAGCTGGAATTCAAGTTTTTTTTGAGTCCTGTAAACCATACTAGACATTTCATTTAGATCATGCTACAGGATTTTGTCCTCTACCTTAATTTGAGATATAAATTGCATGTTTCTGTAATAATTTCACACTGTATCTCATTCCCAACACAGCATTTTTTTAATCAGAGTTCCAGAATTAATGAATTTTTGTAATAGAACTCCAGGTGGTGGTCATACCCTTGGTACTTACCAAAATCTCTAAAAACAAGGTGCTGCCACAGGGAAGGATCATTGGACAGAGATCGCATTTCCTGGCAAGTGCTAGCTACATTCAATATGGAAGGAACAGGAAGCCTTCCAAGAACCATTAGCTGAAAAACCCGGAAAAAAACTTCACATGTATCATTATAAATACATGTAATAAAATAAATATGTAACTACTAAAAATGTTACCTTATTTCCTACATGTATCTAATTCTAGTGAACTCTTAAGTTAAACTGAACTTTTAATTTAATAGCTTTTAATTTTTTATGTAAACTACCTGGTAAGTAGAATGATTGAAATAAATTTTGTGCATCAAAACGTAACTTTAAGGTGCAAACAAAGTTGAGTTGGCTGCAGTCTAAATAAATAATAAAAAAAAAACTAAAATAAAAACAAACTTTTTTATGCCTAGTGGCCAAAGAAGAACCAGTAAATGACTAAAAAGATATCAAGTACAACAGAGTACCTTCACTTCCGCAGGAAGAGCCATGAGACCACATAGCTGAGGCAATCCAAGAGCTTGAAAAAATCAAAAGGTGTAATACATAATACAGCAGCATGTAATAATAATAGTAATAATAATAATAATAAAAATAATAATAATAATAATATATTTATACTGATAAAAATACATAACATCATTACACTAGCTAATAGCAAATCTTCTAACGATAAAAACATGATTATGAAAGATAAAATAACTCCAGTCATTTGAGAACAAAAAGTAAATCATTCTCTGTAACAGGAGAATAAAAACCTTCTTACCAGATCTCATGAAGGCCAGCAGAGGATAAGCTACTTGATCCTTGATGAGTCTTGAAAGCCGATGAAGGTTATAATACACAGTAGATGCTCCTAAAATTTTAACAACTACTGATTACAAAGAAAATTTAAAAGGTCCATCAGACAGATCAAAGCTACTGAAAAAACAGACCTATCTTCGTGTTAAAGAAAAGTTCTGCAGTTCATTGACTATAAAGTACTCCAAGGGATAGAAAGGCTTGTAAGTATCCCAAAAGAGATGAAAAGTGACAAGAATACCTACCACTGGTTTTGAGGTCCACATTCCCCCGCACAAAATCGGTTGGCTGCAATCTACACTGGTATATTTCACTTCCTGACACTGAATCAGCAATACCTGGAATCCAAAATAATGATACTGCTACTGAGCACAACATAATTATCCCAGAGCCCTGCCCTGTGACCAAGCAAAAACACACAGTCCACAGAATTGTCCTGAAGTGTTTTTTTTGCAACAATGTAGATCTTAACATTATTTCATGACACCATCTGAGTGGTGCTTTCCTATAAAGATTACAGTTTTCAAATCTTGCCAAAAAACGCAGTTTTTATTGGAAGCAAAGCTGACAAGGTTACAAAAGAAGGAGAGAATTCACTCTGACATACCATGTACCATAACGTAAGGTCCTAAAGAGGTACAAGTCAAAGACGAGGTCAAACCAGGACAAGACGCATGTGTGTATTTTATTCTTGCAGTTCCACCCTTTTTCCAATCCACAGGAAGAACAATCTTCTGTGATCTGTCAGCTTCACTGCCTTCCTTTAAATTCTGCCAAAATAAATAGAAACATCTTGTTGAGGATATAATTTTTTATTCCATTGCGTTGTCTTTGTCAATCATGGTATATCTGTTGGATGGTAAAATCTGTTTTCAGGTTAAACCAAGATTTTCCTTTGTCTCCTTTGAGAGGTTGAACAATGGTTTAACCTTGGAATGAATTTTGCCTTCACCATATCTACTATAATACAATAATTTGTTGTAAAGTACCTCTGATGCACATATGTATCCGGTCTCTAACATTAAGAAGTGAATAACAATCCAAGAAGCCTCATGAATTGTTCCAACTTCTGCAGCTCTGTAGAGATCTTCCAAAGTTTCTGGAATTCCCTCTCGGCAAAGGAGGACATGTGATCGGAGTGATGTAACAGATGCTGTACTAGTCTGTGGCATGTCATGCTGCATGCTCGTGGATGCTCCTGAATTACACTAAAGAAGTTTTAAAACAGGACGACTGATATAAATGCCCAAAAATATACAGTGGTAACTCTTAAATGGAATGACCCTATTTTTTTTAGGGGTGGGGGAGGGGGGGTAGAAAAAGTGGATCATTTTACATTTCTGTGAAACTGCCCACCTGCCCCTCCCCTAAACCAACAATAACACTCAGTTCTTACTTCTTACTTAGGGCTCAATGTTGGCTTAGGGGAGGGGTAGGTGGGCAGTTTCCCAGAAATGTAAAATGATCCAAAAAAGTTCCTTATTGCTTTGTGCGTTAGATACTGGGTTAAGTTCAGGCTGAATGCCCACCCCCCCTGGCTCTTATGTATTGGGTATCTTTATCTACCTACTTATCACCTGTGTGTAAAAAGTGTCCAAGTTGAAGAAAATTAAAGTTCTGGTTCCCTCAACAACAAAAGAATGTGTTTCATGATATATTGGGTAATTTGCACAAAAGTGAACGGCCTTTTGAACACATTGCTACATAACAAATTGCAGGAAATTGTTGCCTTCTTTAGCCTTAAGGTATACAAAAGATATGACGCTTCCTGTAGTCCTGAGAAATACAAGGACATCTCATGTTAATTCTAGGAGCCTTATTTAAAACACATACTTCAATATGGTGTAATGATTCATCATGTTTATTACCTGGAGGGAGTCACCTCTTTCAGGAGAGTGTTGGAAAGGGTGTTGATCAGCAAGGAAATCTGCATATTGATTTCCTGGGTTATCTCCATGTTGCTCTGAGTCTCGACTGGCGGGTATCACATAGATCAAGTCCCCATTCACTATTCCCAAGTCTTTGAGTGGGACACTATCATTATCCAAAATATCCTGGCCATTAAGACTTAAGTTAAAGTTGTTTCTTCTACCAAAAAAAACAGAAAGAAAAGAGAATTGACACAGTTTCAATAGTAAGTTGTCAAGTATGGGATGATATTGAGAACAAATTTCCATGCATAGCCAAATATTTATGAATCAGTCAATAGACCTTTTTACTGATAAAGCGGCCACATTGAATTATGATTCCCAGGGGGCACGACAACGATCCAATATATTCGCTGGTAACTACACGCGCTTTTCGCTCCAATTTTTCTTTAAGTTTTCCTACAAAAAGATTGCAATGGGAAAACAAGATCGTTGTGCCATGTTTGGATGTAATAATGATTGCCTTTTTCCTGAGAAATATACAGTGAAGTTCTCTTTTCGCCTGAAAAGTGTGCATAAATACTGAGCAAGTGCCCCCTAGGCACCACATAATACTCCTTAAATCTAATAAATTCAATATCGTCACCGTATTGGTAAAAAGGTCTATTGCAGATTTGCCCATGTCCCCCCATCCCGGCCTAAAGGGGTGTGGGGGGGGGGGGAACTTGAGCTGGCAAATAGGGGGCTTGGGCGCACCTGGAATTGATTGATGCATTATTCATTTAATAACATGAATCCATACCATGGTTTTATCCAAACCAAAGAAAAACAAAACAACAGAATACCTCTGGCACTAGATGAAAAAGCAAGAAAGAGTATTGCATAATCAAAGCAGGGAGTTATACAAATGGAAAAGATTTTTTTATGGTCACTAGAGACAGAATCGATGTACTTACCTCAGGTTAAACCTTCTGCATACAGCTTCCCGGCAATCATTAAGGGTAATTGCATCCCCTAATAATTCCAGAACTTCCCGTTGCCTGTTAAAAACAGCTCTCAGTTTCATTTCATCTCCGAGTTAGCTCAAACTCTGGAAAGTACTCGTAAAGTTTGCTAACTCATTGTCAGCAGCCATTTTGTTTTTATATGCGCAAGGAACTGTGGGTACAATAACACCGAATAACACAAGTTTCCCTAGGGGAGGTAGGAGAGTGAATTTTCTACTTTAAACAAGATTTGTGGTTTAGTAAAAATTTTTCCACTTGAACTTGATGATCTCCTTGTAACTCTACAGTTTCTCCTCTAACAACTCCTCCAGCTCCGATTTTCTTTTTCAACTCTTGAAGTAATATGTTGGCATCCCCCGACACATTGGCGATTACTGTGACCTTTTTGCCCTTGGCGCGATTCTCATACGAAATAGGCAGTTTTCCTTTCTTTGTTCTTTGTACAAAAAATCCAAGGGTTTTTTCTGATGTTTCCCCTTGTTTCAAATTAGCTTCTGCTCCTGAGCCAAGACCTGAGAAACCAACAGCACCACGAGTCGCTGTGCTGGCACCGGAGTCTTCCGAACAACTTTCATCAAGAACTTGCGAGCTTTGAGACGTTAGAGAACCAGTTAGAAAGCTTGCAAACGTTAGTTCTGGAGGTCTACCATCATTTTCATATTCTTTAACTCCTTTTCTGCTCCCTTTTGGCATCATAAAAACACGATCTCCGACTTAGGTGAGGCAGCGAGAGTTTTAGGTCAGCGGAGGAAGTGGTCATGCGCCCTACGATGTAAACAAAGACAACGGAGGAGCTGAAATTTACAAGATTGTTCAGTTGCAAGGTTTGGATATGTCTGCTAAAGATCTCTTCCTGAGTTGCAAGAAAGGGGACCTAAATAGTGTTAGGTAAGCATTTTGTTTTGTAGTTAAGTTTGCATATTTTGAGCTTTTATAAATTAGTAGCATACATACATATTTCCGTGGACAAATAAATTATGACGTTATTCGTCAATTTCAGCTGGTATGTTGGAAGTCAAGTTGTCCTTTATATATCACTTCACACCTGAAGTAGATATTACGATATGGTTAAGATAAAACATTGACATTTCAAAGCTCATCGTTTAATGAATTAAACTAAGCGTTTAAGAAGTGCATATCCTTTTTTTAACTTCAGTGTTTGCAGTCTGACACGATCTCCATAAACCGTCTAAAATTTCAAAGTTTTTGCACAGCTCTGTTAAGTGGTCTCGTACCAACGTCAAATTAAAATGGTTTTCCACTTGCATTGCGCTACCCTGCGAACAGAGTCTCCTTCGATCTTCCTAGAGACTCTGCTCGCAGGGTAGCATTGCGCTGACATAAGTACAAAAAGGAAAAATGGAATGGAACGGTAACAATATACGAATTATCTTACATGATTTTTGACAACGCAGTGACAACGGCGTCCAATCAGGTGTTATTAAGACTTTTGTAATTACAAAGATGTGGCGCACCACAAACGTCGAATCTCCAACTGCAAAAGCTCCAGGAAAGCCCGTTTTTACATAACTTTTCCCGATCTAACCAACCCAACCCCAGCTAGAACCGCGAACCGCGGGTGGGAATCTTACGGACCCTCCTGTAACTAAAGTAGAAGTCAGAACGGTAACTTAAATCTAAATCAAATGACGTGTGAGGGGGTGAGTGTGCCTGGCAATAAAAAAGGAATAAATAAAAAAAGGAATAAATAAATAAATAGAAGAAAAATAATAGGTAGTAAAGACCTCAATAAACAAGAAGGAAGGAAAATGGCCATCCAATCTTCTTTCGCTAAAAATCCATTCTATTTTATCCATGAAGTGGTTTTTGAGCAAGGCATTAAACAATTGAAAGAGAACCATCAGTTGAGATAGTCAAGACCTGCATAAAACGTTTCAAAATTGCAATAAAGCAAAAAAGCACCATCCATGTATATGTTACAGGTCAAAATTAAATTCAGGTTAAAATTTTTTAACCTACAATAGGTTGATTCTCACTTTCCTTTGTCTCCTAGCTAGCCCTAATTTTTCACGAATTAGGGCTAGGGGACAAGGGGACTTGAGAATTAACCAAGGTTAAAAAATTTTAACCTGTATTTAATTTTGACCTGTAACATATTCATATACGATACTCCGTAAATGTCAGTGGCAGATTGGAACGCATCGTGTTAAAATTCAAGAAGACAGTCCCATTCCCCCGGGGGGGTACTCCCTCATAAGGGCTTAATGGGGACGTGCGGCCATCCAGGGTATGTTTTTTGGGATTTTTGTCTTGTACAGGGTATCGACTTTATCATTTTTTGTCTTAATCAGGGTATCGATTTATCAATTTTTGTCTTAAACAGGATATCTTTTCTTGGACGATAAACAGCAAAATTTTTACAAGCTCTAATGTTAATTAATATTGACTTCCGTTGACTTAAACAGGGTATCAAAAATCGGAATTCTGTCTGTCTTAAACAGGGTAAGGGTATGAGTGGCCGCGCCGCACCTCCCCACCCACGGATATATCGAGTACCCCCTCCCCACGGGCCCATTCCAAAGAACGCCACTTTCGCATTTCCCATAATGCACTCTCTTTGTAACTTGAAATTTTTCACTTTCTCTTGGGATTTAAAATTTTCGCTGTAAAAGTTGAAAACAATAATTGTGCAAAAATTTTGGTGGGCAAATAAAGTACATCATTGTGAGGAATGTCAAAATGACGAATAGCTTGTGAGCTGTATCTTTCTTCTCCCAGTTTATTTTAAAATTCTTCAAAAAAAATAAATAAATAAGAGAAAACAATTCGAGTTAGCGAGGGATTCGAGTTATCCGAGTTCAAGTTATCGAGGTTCTCCTGTAGTGTTGTTACCCTTTCCTCAAGAATTCCATTTTTTGTTGGAATTTATTACGTTTTAAAGGATAAGTGTTCGGGCTTCACGCTCTTTTTATTAATCAACAGTTGTTAATTTAAACTTTAACGATGAAATAGGCTTAAACAGGCTTATATACACTTAGCCAAAGCTGTGTTGTTTTTAGCTGCGGTTTGTGACCGATTATAAAAATATACATTGTGTTAAAATGTGGTAGCGTTATTTACAGTGATGTTTTAAGTTCCCAGGTATATAAACCGTCCTTCTAATTAAATGCAAGAAAAAGCCCTTTTGGACCCACCCAACGACCTTTTTCACGTTAATTTTGGTTTTATGAATCAATTTAATCGGACTGATCCAAGTCTTTTTTGTCAGCGTTGGAAAATGACCAGTAAGTTAGCGAAAATTAGAATTAGTCAACTCGACGGTCAGAAGCGAGCGACGTTATTGCTACCCAAAGTCGCGATTTTTTTTATAGAGACGCTTCAAATGGCAGGGAGCACAATTTCCCCCACCCACCCCCCACTATACATGTGGATGTATTTTCTCTAACTGGTTCATGCCGAAAGTTAAAAAAAATCGTGGACTGTGGGAAGGGTCGATTACGAGCTTCCTGATTTTGCAGAAACCTTCTGGAGAATGGAGAAACGGAGGTGAATTTGAGAGACCGCTGGGACAGCACACCGCTGTAAGTATAGTCGGGCCGTTACTAGGGTCGTCACGCAACGCTCCTCCCCACTAGTGGGTGGAGAGGAATGTTGGGTGACGACCCTAATAACGGCTGCGAAGGAGACTACTGTAAGTATAGATTATCAAGAATTGTAATGATTTGTAATTATCACAGACATGCATCAACATAATCAACTGGTAGTCATTTGCAGAGAGACCGCTGTTGTAGCTCACCATTTTAGAAGCTGTCACAATTTATCGCCTCGTTCATGTAGGGTCTGGAAAGGGGGATCCTGATCCCGCGTCAGTTCCCGCACGCTCTGTTCTCACGGGAATCCCGCGACGCGAACGTCCTTTATTGCTATCCCGAATATCGTTTTCTTTCCCAATCCCGGATCCCTCTGCCCAAATTTTTGTGAATCCCGCTTTCAGGGTAGCAGTCAAATCCCTTATCCTATTAATGTTGCCAATCCCGTGCTGTATTTTGGTCGAATCCGTATCCCATTTAACGTTTCCCGAATCCCATACTCTATTTTGGTCAAATCCCGTATCCCGTTTAACGTTTCCAGAATCCCGCACTGTATTTTGCTTAAATCGTGGATCCCGGGAAGACCCTTCCAAACCCCGGTCAATACGACGTTTAACTAAAATTTGAAATTTCACAGTCTCCTATATTCCAACTGAGGATGTTGTATACCGCATTCTCGGTGCAGTATTAGTAATTTGTTATGACGTACCACATTAAAACCAATTGTGACATATTTCTCTGTTTCATTTACATTTAGATATTACGCGTGTCTGTGCGGTCATGAGGCGTTGGTAGAGTTTCTTTTACAAAACGGTAAGTTAATTATTGTAATTCAACTAGGCTATACATTGCTGCGGAAGCGTGGAACGTGTGGTAGTAAACGGGATGCGCTGAGGGTAATCGGCTTCGACGACAAGAGATCTGGGTCCGAGATTACGCGAAGAGAAGAGATGCGTCATCGCGATTAATTCTGCAAACAGTGACATGTGTGTTATTGCTGCTCTGCTTGGGTCCTTTATTGTAGATCCATAGCTGAATTTCACACGTGTGGCCATGTAGAATGTACCATCATTAGGTTTGTTATCGTAACGAAATCACCGTGGGCCTGTTTTCCAGTTAGTTCGATTACCAAAAAATGTACTTAACAATTAAATCGAGACTTGAAATTATCATATTCATGGATTTTTGAATGAACAAGCCATCAGGGCTGCCACTAAGGGACGGGGGCCGGGGATTTCCCCCTGCTACTATGAGTAAGTCCCCCGCTTATCTCCCTAGGGATCAAAACTAAAATAAAACCAAACAAACTTCTTTGCTGTTCGATTCCCCGCCTACTAATTGCGTATACCCTGCAACTTGCAATCTTAGTGAATGACAACCCTAAAATCATGTTCATGTTCAGTTTGTTCAAGCAGTCTAATCACCTGAAGGCAATTAAAGAGCTAAGATAGTTCCGTCTCGGTTTTTTTCAACAGGAGCTTATTGCACTCCAAATACTTTTGATGGAGAACGCTGTTTGTACGCTGCCCTGACAGACAAGATAAGAAGTTTGTTGAAAAGCTACAAAGCCATCACTCCTGAGTGTATGAGACGGGATTCATACAGGGAATTTCTCAGGAGGTAATTATTAAACAAACATTTTCCATTTTGCACTGGTCTGTTATAGACTTGCCAACCCCAAAAAGGCAAAAAATGTGAGATTCTGAATCTAGAGCTGGGAAAAGTAGTGAGAAATATGTGAAAGTCGTGAGATGTCCCAAATTTCCTAGCGGAAGGAATTCCAGGGGGGATTATGCATGATTATGGTTTATGATTTCCGCGCTTTTCTCGCTGCACGTATTAACTTCCAATTCTGATTAGTTGATTGAATTGTCGGCGTCTACTATGATTGGTTAGATTGAGTTAATTCTTGTTATGTTGCCGGCAGGTGTCTGGAAGATTCCCCGTATGCAGACGTGTGTTTCCTGGTGCATGGAGAACCTGTGAATGCTCACCGCGTGATTCTGTCTGCCCGCTCCTCATACTTCGCCCACATGTTTGAGACCAAATGGCGCGATCGGCGCATAATTGAACTAAAACACAGACTGGTAAGACAATCTGCTTGATAGTGTCACAGCGAGCAATCTAAAGTTTTCAGTCAGT